TGCCCCGCAGCCAAGTGCAGTAGCGTTGGGCTGCCAGCCTTTGCCTCCCTTCCTGCCTAGGGAGGAGCCCTAGCGCGCGCGCGCGCGCGCGCGCGAGTGTCTAGGGGGTAGGGGCTGGCCAGTGCCTAGTTCCGGCGGCCACCCTGGGGATCCCAAGCTCCTCCCCGCCCTGTTCCTATTGGCCTCGGGCTCCCCCGCCCGCAGCCGCCGGTGCTCGCTCGCGGGGCCCATAGGCTACTACGGGATAAATAGCCCCCCGGCGCTTGGCGTGAAGCTAAGAGTAGAGAAGCCCCAGGGAGCTGCCGCTACTTTCCCCGGAGTCCATCAGGCCAGACAGGGCAGGGCAGGGCGGGGGACAGTCGGGTGTACACTCAGACTCCCAGCACTTCGCTATCGCGCCGCTCAGTTTCCCGAGCTGCAGAAAGTTTCGGGCAACTCCTGCGGCTGGGGTTGGGCAAAGCCAGGACTTAGCCTCCCAACTCCGGGATATGGAGCTGCTGTCGCCGCCGCTCCACGACGTAGACTTGACGGGCCCCGATGGCTCTCTCTGTAACTTTGCCACAGCGGATGACTTCTACGATGATCCATGTTTCGATTCCCCGGACCTGCGCTTCTTCGAGGACCTGGACCCGCGCCTGGTCCACGTGGGAGCCCTTCTGAAGCCAGAGGAACACTCGCACTTCCCTGCGGCCGTGCACTCGGCCCCGGGCGCGCGCGAGGACGAGCATGTGCGTGCGCCTAGCGGGCACCACCAGGCGGGTCGCTGTCTACTCTGGGCCTGCAAGGCGTGCAAGCGCAAGACCACTAACGCTGACCGCCGCAAGGCTGCCACCATGCGCGAGCGGCGCCGCCTGAGCAAAGTCAACGAAGCCTTTGAGACGCTCAAGCGCTGCACGTCTAGCAACCCTAACCAGCGGCTGCCCAAGGTGGAGATCCTGCGCAATGCCATCCGCTATATTGAGGGCCTCCAGGCGCTACTGCGCGACCAGGACGCCGCGCCCCCTGGCGCCGCTGCGGCCTTCTACGCGCCTGGCCCGCTGCCCCCCGGCCGCCGCAGCGAGCACTACAGCGGCGACTCGGACGCGTCCAGCCCGCGCTCCAACTGCTCGGACGGCATGGTAAGGCTGAAACCCCGGGCTAGAGAACTGGAGGCAGCTCTCGTGTGTATCTGAGAAGCATTTCCAAGGGCGGGAAGCTGGCCCTCCAGGGGGAGGGTTGGCCGAGAGTGGACCCCGTGTCCCGGGAGCTGTCACTGGGGTGGCCTAGTGTTTTGGGAACGCATTGTACAAATGCAATCCACCCAGTTGGGAGCGCTAATAGAACACTCTGCTTTTTCTCTACTCACCCCTATTTTCGAAATTGAGACGTGTGCCCCAAGTAACTGTTCGTCTTCTGTTTGGCCCTGCATGCTGCAGACAGCTCTTGCCCACCGTTACCTCCTCCCTCCTCCCAAGCAGGGCAGGAAACTCTAGGCTGAGACTTGGGGAGTTGGGGAGGGGGCGGCTACAGAGAGTGATGTTCCAGCCTCACGTGGCCCCGCGGGCCTGAGTCGGTCGCCCTTGCTGTTTGCAGATGGACTACAGCGGCCCCCCAAGCGGTGCCCGGCGGCGGAACTGCTACGACGGGACCTACTACAGCGAGGCTCCCAGCGGTGCGTATTTGCGCCTCCTTCCCTTTGAGTTGTCCTCCACCTTTGACTTCCACCATTTAGGACACCGGCCTCCTCTGCCCACACACACCTCTTGAAAGATGGTCCAAGGAATGAAATACTACACGTGTAGCTCCCTCTCCTTTCGCCCCCCATTGTCGCTAGATTGTCCCACAATGGCAGGCCCTCAGTTTCCCCTCTGCCCCAAAGCGCTGGGCCCAGAGGTGGGAGACTTGTTTGCGGCTCAACCCC